GAGCTCGGGCACAACCTGGGTATTCAGCACGACCACTCGGCCTGCATGTGTAAGGATAGGCACTTTTGCCTCATGCATGAAAATATCACTAAACAAAGTGGCTTCAGCAACTGTAGTTCTGACTACTTCTACCACTTCCTTCGTGAACACAAAGGGGCCTGCCTATTTAACAAGCCGTGGCACAAAGGCCGCAAGCGTAGGGATCCCAGCTGTGGAAATGGTGAGGTAGAGGAACCAGAGGAGTGTGACTGTGGTTCTGCTTGTGATCAAAACCCATGCTGTGACTCGAACTGTAAACTGAAGGAAAATGCACAGTGTAGTGAAGGACTCTGCTGTGCTTCGTGTCAACTTAAACTGATGGGAAACCCTTGCCGTGACGCTGAGCATCAATGTGACCTCACAGAATATTGTGATGGTACATCTGCCTCATGCCCTGAAGACAGGACTATGCAAGATGGCTCAATTTGTAATGACAAGTACCTTTGTCTTCAAGGTGTGTGTGTAGACCCTAACATTCAGTGTGCGAAGGTATTTGGGGATGGTGCACAATCTGCATCACGGGCCTGTTACAGTTTAATAAATGGAAAAGGGGACCGGTTTGGAAACTGTGGCTGTTCTCGTGTAAGTGATAACGACTATGTTAGATGTACAGGTGAAGATGTATTGTGTGGGAAACTTGTATGTACAGGTATTGAATTGTTACCAACAACCGAATCCCACCGTACAATGATCCAGGTCCCTCTTCAACATGAGTGGTGCTGGAGCTTAGATGCCTTTACCAATGTTGACATCCCTGATGAAGGCGATGTGTTGAGTGGCACTTACTGTGGTCCACGGAAAGTCTGCTTGAATTTCTCTTGCACAGATTATAGCTCGGTCTCGCTTGCCTGTGATCCAGAGACAACGTGTAATAAGAAAGGAGTTTGTAATGATTTAGGGCACTGTCACTGTGAATCTGGGTATGCCCCACCTGACTGCACAACTGCAGGACAAGGGGGTAGTGTGGACAGTGGCCCTGCTGGTAAGCCAACTGAACCATTGCCCCCACAAGAGGGACCTCAAAATGTTACCACTACGAAACAGGAAGAATTTACTATAGATGTAATTGTATTATTCGTCATCATACTTTTAATACTTCTAATATCAGGTATGCTTATTTGCTTCATGGGGCTTCATAAAAAACCACCAAAAGCTGAAGAGGCTCCTCCTCCACCAGCAGAGGCTCCATCACCAGCCCCAGAAAAGCCAGAAGAGGCTGTGGAAGAGGCTGCTGTGGAAGAAGAGGCAGGAGAAGGAGAAGGAGAAGGAGAAGGAGAAGAGGAAGAAGGGGAAGAGGAAGAGGGAGAAGAAGAGGAGGACTGAGAGAAGCCAAATATGTCAAACTCCTCAAGCACTGATTGGGAATGAGAGGTTCAGTGAAGCAAAGGTCAAGTAGAAATAAATGACTCCATTGGCTCTGCCTTGGACTCTAAAGTCTATAAAAATATACTAATGTGGAAGGAGGAATTCTTCCATTTTTATTATTCACTTTAGTAATTAAGTTTACATTTATTTAATATACTCAATGTCTTAGTATCTTTTGCTTTTTCACATTTCATTCAACTCTTAAAATGCATCTTTGGACGTTAATGTCCTTAATTCTTTGGGCCTATTTTTTTCAGTCACCAGAAACTGGTTGTCAGTACATGCTATCTTCCATTAAGTTGTCTGACATGCAGAACTACACATACTTGCATTTATTACTACCACTGGGATTTTCATTTTAAGAAACAACTACTTATTATGTGAGGACAGTTGTTTATGTGGTTGATTAATCTAACTTGCCCTATAAATGTGCATTCATGAAAAGGTTTTTAAATCCAAAAATAAATAAAACCCTATTCATATTAGACATCTCTTCCGGTGCTGTGTGGTGTAGTTACTGAGGTCACTTTGTTCTGGGGCTCTCTGGGCAGGGAGCTATATCTGGTAAGGGAGAAGACCCTGATTGCCCTTGGGTGAAGAGACCAGCACTGAGTTCACCCACTTTGTAAATCTGGCAGATGTTTAACATGATGTATGTATATTCCATAATTACTTCTCAGCATTTCTAGGTGTTTCCTACAGCCATACTCTTTTTTACCTAAAACATTTTTTTTTTCTTCCAAGGCACCTTTCGTAGCCCTTGTTCCTTTTTAATAATTTTCCTGGGATGAATTTCACACCCCCAGATAACTCAGAGCCAATGAATATCACCTAGAGTTAGGAAATTATTTATACTGATTTTATAACAGTATAGGGACACCTACCACAGCGCTGAGTACATGGATAAAATT